ATACGGTATTTTTTTTCAAAAAACACTGATCGGTGGATTTGACTCGATTGAGCATGTTTATGACAGATTGGGCCCGCTAGTCAAGCTGACGTGGTACCACCTAAGTAACTGCGACGTTGGCAAACATTATCATCATGTGTGGCCCTGTGGGGTCCACCTGTCATTGAAAGAAAAAAGAAAAAAAATCTGGTGCTCCGTGCTCGTCAACCTCCCGCCGCTGGACAGAGGAGCGCTTGGCCGCCGGCGCTGGCGTCGACTGGGGCCCGAGGGAGCTCGCCGGCGAAGGCTCTGGAACAACTTCGCGCCGTGTCCGGGGGGTGGCTACGGGGTCGCATGGGCCAGGCCGCGACGGCCGAAGAGCTGCGATGGCGGCGCCCGCAGGGCTTCCCCGGAGGAACTCGGGGGCGGCGACAGTTCGGGGGCATCCGGAGGAGTCGGTTACGCCGAAGGAAAGGGAGGGGAGGGCTGTTGGCAAGGAATTTGGCCGACAGGATGGGCGGCGGCACCTCGGCCATTGGAGGGGGGGAGGAGCTCTGAGGCTTGGGGAAGAAGTTGAGGACTGCGAGGGGGCAACGGGATCCCTGCGCCCTCGCGAGCCACGTGAGGTCTCCATTGAAGCAGAGCCCGCCATTGTCGTTGCCGCACCGAGGCAGAGGCCGCCCTTCGTCCGCCCTCAGCCGAGGCAGAGGCCTCCACGCCGCCAGTGCTCCCTCGCAGATTCCATCCTTGAGCATGGACACCGCATCTCGGCGCCACGGTCCTTGTCGTCCTTGGCCTTCCTCGCCTGGCTGAGACTCGCGACATTGACCTTTGTCCGCCGGCCTGTGCACTGCACTCAAACTATTCGATGGACTGCCAAAGAGAGGCTTGATAGGCTGACAAGAGGACCCCACATCCAGCAAACTTTTTCATGTAACAGTGTGAGAAACTGGTGTCGATGTCAAAACCAGCGGATCTCGGGTAGGGGGTCCCAATCTGTGCGTCTTAGGCTGATGGTAACAGGAAGCGAGGGACACAACGTTTACCCAGGTTCGGGCCCTCTCGATGGAGGTAAAATCCTACTTCCTGCTTGATTGATATTGATGATATGAGTAGTACAAGAGTAGATCTACAACGAGATCGTAGAGGCTATACCCTAGAATCTAGCCTATGATGATTATGATTGTAATTGTGATCTGCCTTCTAAGGACCAACCTCTCCGGTTTATATAGACACCGGAGAGGGCTAGGATTTACACGGAGTCGGTTGCAAGGAAGGAAATACAATATCCGGATCGCCAATCTTGTCTTCCACGCAAAGGAGAGTCCCATCCAGACACGGGACGGAGTCTTGAGTCTTGTATCTTCACGCTCCAATAGCCCGGACGAAGTATATAGTCCGGCTGTCCGGATACCCCCTGAACCAGGCTTCAATGACGATGAGTCCGGCGCGCAGTCTTGTCTTCGGCATTGCAAGGCGGGTTCCATCTCCGAATACTCCAAAGTAATTATCGAACACTTAGACCGTATCCGGATGTGCAAGATGATCTTCACATAGCATAGATCTGATCCGCTGGCAATCTTCGTACGTCGTGCCCTTGCATCGTGGCCCGACCCAACACGAACCGGTGTTTCTTGGCCCACCTTGACTCGCGTTGCGAGGTGGTTTTATTGGCACGCCCTGCCGAAGCAGAGATCGTGTTCCCCTTACTACGGGATCTTCCATCAATACGGGCATGCGCAACCCCACGACGACCGTTGGTATGACTCCGTGTGTTTTTACATAAGTCTCAAGCGGTCACACTGAGGACTCTTGATATTCACCGCCTTTATAAAGGGGCCGAGGCCTATACCTCTTTCCCACCACCCATGCGCCTTTTCGCACCTCGAGTTCTAACACCCGAGACCCAGGCTCAAACACCCCAGATCCTCCAATATGTCCGGATCCAACCCTCAAGGCCGGTGGGTGGCCTCCTCGATCCAAGAGGAGGACATTGCGAGGCTTAGGGAGGTCGAATATCTGACTGCCGACATCCAGCACAGGCTTCCCGCTCTCGGGCAGGTCATCCCAACTCCCGAGCCTAATGAGAGCGTCGTATTTGTCCCTCACTTCCTCCGCGGCTTGCGCCTCACCCTTGATCCCTTTGTGAGGGGGCTCATGTTCTATTACGGGTTAGATTTTCACGATCTAGCGCTGCACGCTATCCTCCATATCTTGCCGTTCATCATTGTGTGCGAGGCTTTTCTCCACGTCACTCCACACTTCGGCTTATGGCTCAAGACCTTCAATGTGAAGCCGAAGATGATCGAGGGGCGACATGCGGAGTGCGGAGGTGCCATAATAAGCAGGAATGCTGATTCCCCATGGCTAGAGGGTTCTTTCCCGTAAGTATCCGGTGTGTGGCAGCGGAGGTGGTTTTACGTTACGGCTCCCATAGGCACAACGTGGGTGGCCGCCCCCGACTTCCGCTCGGGCCCTCCGTCACAACTGGCGTCATGGACCGACGTAGGACGGAATTGGGGGCCCGCTAGTGATGTACCAATACTGCAGAGCCGTATCCGGGAGCTTCTTGAGAAGGACATTAACCTTGTCAGCATAATTCAAGTAATGCTAATCCGACGGATGCTGCCATGCAAACGCCGGCCTCTCCGGATGTGGGGGTTCAATCCAGAGGGTCCGCGGACTATTAAGCACTTCTTCGGCCCGAAGCTCGAAGGATGTGTAAATTATTCTTCGGACCACAAGTAAAGTGTCTGGACACCACCGAGGATGCGGGCCTAAGCTGCAATCGCCTTGATACCCAAGTAAGTAATCTTGAAACCGGATACTTCATTTATATTTGTCATAGTCATTATTCTGAAAACCCTCCGTGGCCAGGAATGGCTCAGCAAGGCGGAGAGAATCAGGTGTCCGGCGCCACTTCCCGAAGGCTCGCCTAGTCCAACCATTGCCAAGATGCTTGACCGGGTGCTCAGCAAAATGCCATCAGGAAAAGACGAAAGGAAGAATAGAGAAGCCGAACTTCATACGCTGCGCATCCAAACCGGGGGAATTGTTACCTCCCCTGAGGAGGATAGTCGAGAAGGGGAGTCCAAAGCCTCCTCCCCGCGCGGGAAGAAGAGGGCCGCCTCCGAAGACTTGGAGACGGAGATGCCCAAGCAAGGGAAAAATGTATCACGAGGGGGCTCTGCCCCGACGGGCACCCTTACCGCGTCATGCCCGCCAACGGGCGAGCCCTCCACCGAGCTATAAGTTCTCCGTAAATTCGAAGGTACTACCTTTGTTCGAGTACACTAACCAGGATCCATTCTTTGCAGTCCGGCTAGCAGCTCTTCTCAACAGAGTTCGTCTTCGGGGGATCTTCCTCCGAAGATGATGGAGAGTGAGATCCCACCAGCCTCTCCGCCTCATGAGGCGGGTGACACCAAGGTGTCATCATGGAGGAGTCCGGATTTGCCAAAGCCAGAAGCTAATACGTTAGCCGCCCTGAGCCCGGAGCGTTCGGCTCCCACGGGGGGCGATGAGAAGGGTCCCACATAGTTCGGTGTCCGGCCGGACGTACTGACGGGCCTTCTGGAGTGAGCTGCGCTCTCGGAGGAGCACCGCTCATTAATGAGCACGGTAGTCAATAAGATTTCATCCGCCACAAGCGGTTTCAATGAAGCATTTACGAGCCTGCTCAGAGGCTTTGAGGTATGTTGTGAAAAATACACTATTTTTTGGCTGTGAGGCACGCACTAGGTGTGCTCCATATGGATAGTAGCCCCTGAGACTCTGGTTGCCCGCCCTAGGCGGCAAACGGGGGATCATATTGTGTAAGTAATGATTGCGCTGTACATATGTGCAGGTATCTAAGGATCCGGCAGCCGACTAGTCCATTGAAGTTGCCGAACTAAGGAGGCAGATTGGATCTATTGATGCCGATATCACGCTGGTAAACGAGCGACTGAACAAGTCACAAGGTATGTGCTCTGCTTTCCTTATTATGTTGTATAGGAAAATATAAGAGTGGCATAATATTAATGCGACATGCGTGGATTGCAGACGGTGCTGCTGCCGTGGAAGCCCTGAGGGCGGAACTTGCCCAGGCCAAGGAACAAGCTCGGGCTAGCAATGCGGCTGCCCTAAAGGCGGCCGAAGAGTTGAGAGCCGAACAGGCTGCTCATCGCCGAAGCGAAGACAAGATAGCCGAAATGGATGTTGAGTTGAAAAATGCCACCGACTGGTATGAGCTCCTTGAAAAGGAGAATCAGGTTAATTCGGCTGACCTGAACAAGGCACTTAATGCGGCCAAGGAGATGCGAACCGAAATCAGGGATGTGCGGGAGGAGCTTCGACAGGCCGAAAAAATCGCGGCTGGGAGCCCCTACTTGTTGCGGATGAAGTTTTTGGATCCGAAGTATGCCCTCCTGGATCGACGTTGGAGTTCTGCAGACGCTTATGTGGACTTGGCGAAGAGTACAGCTGATGCCGCCAAGTTTTTTGAGGATCAAGGTGATAAAGAAGTGGAGAAGTTG